TCCCGCCGGAGGACGGAGCACCGCTTGTCATCCTCACCCCACTACAGAATCACAGAATCACAGAATCTTCCAGGTTGGAAAGGACCTCAAAGATCATCTTGTCCAACCGTCAACCTGACTGACAAAAATAGACACCCACACAACAAACAAGGAGCATCATCACTAAACCAGACCTCCCAGCACTACATCAACCCGGCTTTTGAACACCTCCAGGGATGGGGCCTCAACCACCTCCCTGGGCAACCACCTACCTGCTGGAGGAGCTCTTCCTACGCAGGAGGTCCACCTCTGTCCCCCAGGGTCACCCCCAGGCAGGCATGGAGCTCAGGGGGACAACATTCTCCTGACAACCCAGCTGGCTCTGCACCCCCAAGTTACCCACAGGTGATCCAGCACAGCTGCCCACAGCCGGACACCGAACTTCAAGAGGGAAGATTTAGATTAGATATTGGGAAGAAATGCTTTCCTGTGGGGAAAGAGCCTGGAGAAGGCTCCGGGGAGACCTTGGAGCCCCTTCCAGTCCCTCAAGGGGCTCCAGGAGAGATGGGGAGAGACTCTGGATCAGGGAGGGGAGCCCTAGGAGGAAGGGGAAGGGTTTGACCCTGCAAGAGGGGAGATGGAGCTGAGCTGTGGGGAAGAACTTGTTTGGGGGGAGGGTGGTGAGAGCCTGGCCCAGGTTGGCCAGAGAAGCTGTGGCTGCCCCATCCCTGGAGGGGTTCAAGGGCAGGTTGGAGGGGGCTTGGAGCAACCTGGTGTGGTGGGAGGTGTCCCTGCCCAGGGCAGGGTTGGGGGAACTCAATGATCTCTAAGGTCCTTTCCAACTCTGACCATTCTATGATTCAACACAAGAGGTGACCCTCTTTTCAAGGGGAGACCTTGAACCAAGATGAGCAACACGAGAAAATCCAGCTTGGGTTGGTGGGATGGGGCTGAAGATCAGCCAGGGTGGTACGAACTGTCCCCATCTCTGGGGACATCTGGACTGAAGCTCCCACTGCCCAAGGCCCACCTGGCTCAAGTTCTTTACAACTCTCTACTTTTAACACACTGCTCATAGCTCACACACGCAGCGAGCCCCAGACCTGGGATAACAGATCAAAAACTCCAAGTTTGAAGCTTTTTTTGATCAGCGGTCCCAGAGTAGATCACCGTAATGAAGCCGGGCAGGAACAAAAAGGCTTTTGTGAAACTAACTGTGCTCTCTGAGCTGTAACCATAATCACAGCACCCATTCCCAGAAGTAGGTCTTGACATTATTGGGTCACCCAAAGGAAGGGCTATGCATATTTTTACACCCATCATTAACGCAGCTATTTGTGTTAACGCTTCCAAATCGGGCGGCCGATACACCCATGTACACAAACAGGAACATGGTTACATTTGCATTCGCTCCGTTTGTACTCACGTTGAGAACTACCCGTGGGTTTTATTGCCACAATAGAAACCGGAGCTGGGCTGCACAGCATCCCTGGGAGTACAGAGAAGCAGCAGAGCAGCCGAGGTCGGGCGGGCAATGCCTGTCCCCCAGCCCCGTGGGTTCTGCCCCCTGGGTTGGACACGTTGGGTTCTCACCACCCCAACCACGCTCCTTCTGCTGGAGAGGTGTCTGACAGATCACTATGTGCTCGTGGTACTTCCAGCTAATGGACTTGTCACATCTTTGAGCTGTTACTGCACGCCACGAACGCTGCTGATTAATGGAGCAGTGACCATGGCATTATTTACACTTGGTTCGTGCTTTCAAGACATCCTTCACAGCTTCAAGAGTTACAAACTCCTCTACCAGTAAGCTGATTGAGACCATCGAGTCATTTCACATAACTTAACCACAGAAGAAAAGCAGAGTAATTCTGGATTTTGGTATCAAACGTGGGCTTGTAACAAAGTTCCACGTGTGCTTCTCAAACTCCCTCAAACTCCTGTCCGCCTTCAACAATTAGAGAATGGAACTTCAACGGAAACTGTGGCTTGTTCAAAACCCACAGAATGAGTATTAAGGTCCACTAAATTTTGTTAGCAGTTTTTTTTGATCGTCTTTCCACTGTGATAAAAATGTCGAGGTCACAAATACCTCAAAAAGCAACATCACGATCACCTCAACTACTCTGGCAAAAATAACCCAACAACGACTCCCTCGGATTTGTAAAAGCAGAACTGCTGCCAAATTATTTCAACTTCTGAAAAGTATTGCCTTGTAAAAATTTCTCTCATTGTTCTTTATCTTGACTAGCAGTCACCCCACATTCTTTAGGTGAGTATGAAGTTATCAAGAAAGGTTGAAAAAGCTGTGACCAGTCATTACCACAGCTGCTTCCTCCCTTGAGGTTCTCCTAGTGCTTGGACACAAAGGATGACTCTTTACTCTGGGAATGTTAGAGATGGAGTGGATCTCAGGTTCTGCGACCGTAACACGTGCTGCTTGTTAGGTCCCATTGGGTTCTCACACTGCCCAAGAGCAGGAGCACAGAACATTAACCCCTCCCTGAAGCTCCTGAAGCTCAGGTCCCTCCATACCCCCCACCCTGAGCTGGCCACGGCTCAGCTCTTCCAGGAAGGACAGAAAAACACCTGCAATTATCAGCTCCCTCCCTGCGAGAGCTGACCTGATGACAGCATCCCCACCCCCAGCATTTTCTATTTCCACTTTTAATCATTTCCTATTTCCGCTTTTAATCATTTCCAGAAGTATTGGAGTAACCTGCAGAACAGCCCATTGACTCTAACACACCACGTATGACAGTGACCTGCTGTGACACGCTCGTTTAACTCTGGTTTTGTACCACATGGTGTAGCTCTATTCTCTCAGGAAAGAGCTCTCAGGACTGAAAAGTTCCCTCCAAACTACATAAAGAGGAGGCACCTGTACGGAGCCAGCCTGTCCTGAAGGTGAGGGATATGGATCTTGCTGCTGTGAATTTCACACACAGGGTGCTGCTGTGGTGATCACACGCAGACTCTGCCACAACTGTGTGTCATCCTCCCACAAGGGGCAACGCGTGTTTTGTGTCACACAAGGAGTCCAAATCCAGAGAGAGGTGTCAGGGTCATTTCTTAACAATTCTGAAATTATTTCTTTTCCATCACCTAGAGCTCTCTGAGGCAAGGGCCAGGAGTTATCCAAACTGACCCTTAGTGTCAAAGCAAAGATTAACACTAATTGGGAACATTAGAATCTTAAGATTAAACTGTCACATACTGGGGAACATCAGAGACTAAATGAGGGGAAAAAGACTACTAAAGTTATCACAAATCACTGGACGCATTCGGAGGAACCTTAAAGACATCTTGAGATGTTCACCAGTTATGACTGCAGCAGATTTTGCAGAAACCTGATGAAAAATATCATCCTTTCTTGCCTGGAGACGTGGTGCTGAGCCTGGACCAGCCCTTACAAGCACAGAAGTGACGGAACCCCAGGCTCTTGTACCCTGGCTTCATGGCACAGCACTGGGGGGTTAGTTACCCTGTTACCCCACTGTATGACATCCAAATGCTTCAAATGCACAATCACAGAATGGTTTGGGCTGGAAGGGACCTTAAAAGCCATCTAGTGCCACCCCCTGCCCTGGGCAGGGACACCTCCCACCACACCAGGTTGCTCCAAGCCCCCTCCAACCTGCCCTTGAACCCCTCCAGGGATGGGGCAGCCACAGCTTCTCTGGCCAACCTGGGCCAGGCTCTCACCACCACTGAAACACTTAACGTTACTCAAAAATCTTTCTCCTCAGCAGGACTAAAATCCTTCTTGTCACTTCCATTGCACCTGACGATGAAGACTAATCCTCTCCTATAGCCTTGACACAGCTTGTGACATCAGATGCAGACATCCCTTCTTGCAGCTGGTAAAAGGTAACAGGAGTCTTAGCACAGGGAAAGAAAAAAACCAACCAAACCCGAATAAAAAGCCTCAGTTTCTTGAGCCAGAGGCAGTTTAATTTGTTAAGAACTGAAAGAGGCAGCTCCTACAGCTCTCCTCTTTCGAAGCCATACACCCCTACAGAATCACAGAATGGTTGGAAGGGGCCTTTGAAACCATTGAATCCAACCACCAAAAAAAAACCCCACCAAGAAAACCACACACAAAAACACACCACACCCACCCACAGACACAAACCAACAATCCCGGGCACTAGAGCATGCCCTGAAGTGCCCCATCTACACGGTTCTTAAATCCCTCCAGGGATGGTGACTCCACCACCTCCCTGGGCAGGCTGTTCCAGTGCCTGACCACCCTCTTAGTAAAGTCATTCTTCCTAATATCTAATCTAAACCTCCCCTGCCCCAACTTCAGACCATTTCCTCTGCTCCTGTCGTTACTCCCTTGGGAGAAGAGGCCAACCCCCATCTCTCTCCACCCTCCTTTCAGGGAGCTGCAGAGGGCAAGGAGGTCTCCCTTCAGCCTCCAAACTCAACATGCCCAATTCCCTCAGCCTCTCCTCGTGTGACTTGTTCTCCAGCCCCCTCACCAGCTTGGTGGCTCTCCTCTGGACAACACTCCAGCAGCTCAATGTCCTCCTTGCAGCGAGGGGCCTGGAAATGAACACAGCCATTGAGGTGAGGCCTCACCGACGATGACTTCCCTACTCCCGCTGTGCCTGACACCAGCCCGGATGGTCACTGAACAACACCCTTCCAGCCAAAAAAATAAAGAAAATCTTCCTAAATTCTCTCAGAAAAAGCTCTAGAACGGCTGCTACGGCTTTACACCAGCGCCTTTCCTCAGGGCCTTCCTGAGGCGGCGGGGCCCGGGGAGGATTGAAGCCCTTGACGCTCCCCCCCGCGCCTGCGCACTGCCCCCCCCACCTCAAGGCGCACGCGCAAAGCGGGGGGGGGGAGGGCAGCGGCGCCGGGAGGAAGCGGGGAACTGGCTTGGGAGGAAGCCCCGCCCACTTCTGGGAAACCCGTGGGGCGGGGCAAGGGGGGCGTGGTCATTCCCTCAGGCGGCGCGGCGATTGGTGGAGAGGGAGCGGAGAGGGCGGGGCGAGGAGGGGAGGGGGCGGGGCGAGGCCGCCGCCTGTCAGTGAGCGGGGCGCCGCTGAGGAGGCCTGAGGTGTCGCCGGGCCGCAGCGGTAGGTGAGGAGCGGGGCCGGTAGCCGGGGGGCACCGGTGAAGCGTTGGGGGGACGGGAACTCAGTGGGGGTGAGAACCGGTGGGGCCGGGAAGCGTTGAAAGCGGGAGCCGCTGGAGAACGTCGGCCGTAGTAAGGGCCTGAGGGAGCCCGCCGGCCCCGCTTCCGCGGCCGCCTCAGGGTGTGAGGGAGCCCGGCTGCGGCGGGAGGGGAAGGCCCCGGGAGCACCGGGGAGCTGTGAGCGGTACCTCCCGCCTAACGGGCCGGGCTGCCGCCGCTCCCCTTGCCCTCCGCTCCCCGCCCCATCCCCGCAGGGCGCCCGGCGCTCTCCCGGCGGTACCGGTTAAAGCTGGCCGCTCCGTTCCCTCTTGGAAGCTCCTCTCCTCCGCACCCCCGAGTCCCCCCGGGGCCGTCCCGCTCCCGCTGCAGCCGCCGGAGAGCAGAGGTGAAGGCTCAGAGCTTGGCCCGGGCGAGGTGCCGCTTCCCAGAGGCGTCCCTGGCCCCGGAGATGGGGGGAGGAGGAGGAGAATCAAAATATACGGCTGAAGAAGAGCTGAAGTTGGGTTAAATTCTGCTTGTCCCTTCCATCCAGCCCTAGTGCTCCTCTTCGGCGCGACTCTTTTTTTGCTGGCAAAAGGTTAAAATGCTTCTTTGCTGATTAATAAGTTGCTGCTGTGGTTGATCTCAGATGCTTCCTGTCTCCTTTAATCGGTTACATTAGAAACATGTGTTCGGTGCTTTGCACATGTAAGAAGCAGCAGCAGCAGCCTGAAACTGGCATCCATAAACAACGACTACATTTCTTTTTTCAGCTGGCTTTCAGAACTCTGCTCTGAGTAATAACTCGCACCTTCTCTGCTGTGCCCTTAATGATAAGAATAATCGAATCGGGCTTTGAAATATGTGTCTGCAGTGTGCTGCTTTATTGCAGTTTAACTAAGTTAAAATCTGTTACTGGCACGGCCACTAGATTCCTTTGGAATGAGTCATTTGCTATTAACTATTAAATTTTAACTGCTTTAAGAGAGTGAATCTTTGTATAGCATGCTGTGAAGGAGGAGTGGAACAAACAAACATATAACAACCCAAAAGCTAAGGGGTTTGTGGGACCTGGTCCAACATCACTGGAGTTAATGAACCCTGTCTGCCTGACTCCTGTTTCAGTGCTGGATGTGGGACAGTAGAGCTGAGCTTTCGTTTTAACAGTGATGAGCTGCCTAATTATTATTCTATGGGAGGAGGCAAATGTGATCATGCTGTCTCTTTAACTTTCCTTCTTTCCCTTCTGAAGTTTGCTGGCAAGTGTCAGTCAGATCTGTCAGAGGAGACAGAGGGATAGAGGTCTGGAAGGTGGAAAAATCACTCAGTTTCCCAGAGGAGCAGCTGGCTCGGAGTAAGAGAGACCTGAGTTAGGAGAAGGTCTGGAGATGCTGGGGAAGGGAGAGCCAGAGGATGCTTGGGGGTACCAGAAGGAGGCCTCTGAGGGCTAGACATGGGGGGCTTTAATCTGGAGGAACCTGGGCTTTGCTGAGGACAGTTTAGTGACACCAGGGCCCTGAATAATATTGGCCTTGTCTTGCCTGAAAGGCAGTTCTCTCCTGCAGCTAATGGGGGAGTTTGTCTTACGGGGGTTTGCTCAGGCCAGACAGTTAGAAACTACTCTGGGCAGTTCATGTTTCGACTTTGTAGTATAAAATCATCATAATTAAATTTGCAGGACCAATTGTAAATTAAGATTACATAGAAATGCTTCCAGCTATGCTGAATTTACCTCAACTTTTGGTTTTGCCTAACGTTTCAGCCTTACTGCTTGCTTGTAGCCTTTCATGGCATTTGATAAATGTGACTGAAAATTTCAAGGTGCCAAGCCAGGTATAGTAATAACCAGTGAAAACTCAGTCCTGCCTGCTTGGGCAGAATTGATTTTAATATGCGTTCGTGGCTATTGTTGGAAGTTGTCCATTTAGTTGCTTCATTATACTCTCTTGTTATACTTTGGGAAATAGCTTCACTCCACAAGTGGGTCTTAAAAGTCAGGATGTCATTAAGTGGTGTCCTGAGAGCCCTGGGAGAGCAGCTGAGCCAGGCCTGACAGCAAAACCCCTAGGGGTTGAAGTTTGTTCTGATTCTTTCTGTTTGTAAAGCAGTTTGGAAAAATTAGCCACTTTTTGCAGCTGAGCCAGGCCTGACAGCAAAACCCCCAGGGGTTGAAGTTTGTTCCGATTCTTTCTGTTTGCAAAGCAGTTTGGAAAAATTAGCCACTTCTTCGAATGAATGGGGTTGTGGTGATGTTTTATAAACTCCCAGCAAATGGGTGTTATTCATATCTTTGTTGAATAACATGAAAAGAATTGTTGAGGAGTGAGTTGTACCGGAGCTTGTATTTGAGGAAATGAGGATAGGTGTGTTTAGATGCTTTTAGAAAGATGGTTAAACCCAGTCAAATATTTTCCTACAGAGTTTGTAACCAAACTATTGCAATGTACGAATGTCTGGCAACTAAAAAGGCAGTTGAAGCTCATTACCCTGCTGTTTACAGTAAGCAGTACGAAGGGCTGAAACAGGATTTTGAAGTATTTACTATCAAACCACTTTAAAGAACGTGTTTACATACTTATTATCGTTTGTAACGTAACTTGCTCAGGAACATAAGGCTGATAGTGAAATCCTTTAAACGGGCAGTTCCGGGGTGGTTTGGGGGGAAGGTTTCCCTTTACCTGGTGCTGCTCAGGTAGGTCTGCGAGCAGCGGTGCTGGGTGATGATCCACGGGGAACCAGGCAGGAACGTGCAGGAGCCTCTTCTCTGGACACATGGCCAACGCTGGTTAAAGAAGAGGAGGTGAAGACTGAGCATCCTGGAATAGCAACTGGTGGTCTGACTCACTGGTATTTTAATCAGTCAGGCATTCTATTTATTTTTACTTTGGAACCCTTAGATACACAAGGAAAGTCTTTTTTTCCCCCTCTTAACCATGTTAATTTAAAGTGGCATTAAGTGCGTTTTAAGGTAGGGGTGTGTGCCAAGTGCTACAACTTTTTTTTTTTATTTTTTTTTTAAGTCCCTTCTGACACAAATTGAAACTGCTCCCTTGCTGTCTTGTTTAAATAACCGCCCCAGGCCCATGCTACAATAATATGCCTTAGACTAACATGGCCGAAAACGGAACCGGCTGAATTTCGGTTTCATCTGAAAACGCGGGCAGGCGAGGAACCTCAGCAGTAACATCCAGCAGAGAGGGGACAGGGGCAAAGGGAAGTGGTGTCTGGGGTTTGAAAGGGTTGTACTTATAGATCTACTCCTTGGGCCCCAAACCAAATCATCAGCGTGATTCTTTTTTTTTTTAAAACTGTCATCTTTTTTTTTTTTTCCTTTGGTGATCCGCCTGCTTTTTGGTAAGGTTTGTGTCTGTGTGTGATGTTTTTATAGCTAATACCCTGGATAAGTTCTTTAGGCTGCAGATTTGGCTCCTTATCAAATACCTACTGTCATTTGTTAGGACTGGAAGGTCCCCAAAAGGTGTATGTTCTTGTCTCAGGTGACATTTTCTGGTGATGCAGAAATTCCTGGCTCTTCCCAGCCGTTGCTGCGTTGTAGGGATCAGCAAAGCAACGTTGCTAAAATGCTGGTTGTGTTGTTTAATAAACCAGTAGCAGCTGCAAAAGAGAAGGCTAACCTGAGTTAATGCATTGTTCATAAAACTCTTCTCAATAAGGAAGTGGGAAACCTCACTGAGACAACATGATTTTTTTTTTCTTTTTTTCTTTTTTTTTTTCTTCAAACTAAATGTCAATGCGAAACTGCTGCTGAGCACTCATGCTCGGACTGGGAGAGGAAATCTACAGGCTTTGAAGCTGACTTATGAAGCCTTATGTATATTTTAAAGCTCTTTTAAAGTCTGTTTTAACCAAATCTGAGGGCTACTCCATAAAATGTTAACTGAAATTCTCCAAAGAGCCATAGGTGAGGGGGACCTGACCCGGGCAGACCAAGCAGCACCCAGTATTATGGTGTGCTGCAGAGTGTTTTAGTGCTGGAGAGGTATTTGGGTTCCTTTTTTCCAGCTATGAGTCTCTCTTTCTGTATACATAGTAACTTCATGAAACACAGATATGTTTTTTTAAGGTCCCTGCTACAAACAGCTTCCTGTTGAGATGGAAGAGCTGAAAGAGGGGCTTGTTTAGAGAGGGGAGGAGGTTTTAAAGGAGCAGAAAGCACATGGTATCTCTTATATTAATAATGTTTGAGTGTCTCCTTAATTCTGGCTCCCTACAGGTCTCAGATGACCCTCTCTGGTCTATTAGTTTCTCACAGGAGCACAGACCAGTGCCTCCACCACACAACTGATACCCTCTTGGGCTTTCGTTCTGTAAAAACGCACTTTCTTTTTTACAGCAGTGAGAACTAACATTAGTTAACCAGGGGTGAGTGTAAAACCTTAGTGAAGATAAGGAGCAAAAGCCCATTGTGGGTTAGGGGGTAATATTCACTTTTATCTGCTGCCTCATTAACCCGACTTCCCCATTCTTCCTTGAAAATAATGAGCCCATACACACGTCTGCAGAGGGAAGAAAGTCGGGGATATTAAAATCAGGAATTACAGTTGAATCTAAGTGACTTGGATGAGGGAGAGGAGGTTTTGAAAACCAGAGAAGCAGTTTGGGGTGTGAAACAACCCCCCTTCCAGCTCGACAACGTGAAGCTCCTGATGTTGCACGTATGTAAGTTGTGTCTGTACAGGAAGCTGTGCTCATCCTGGAGCGGTGGCAAGTACATCAGCAGCCAAAACCGCAGCTCCAGCATGTCTCATGTGGGTAAATCCTGTTCTGAGTGGGCTTGCCGTGGAACCTCAGGTACCCAGTTACTGCTCCCAGGGCTCCCTTTTATCCGGAGCTTCCCTGGGAAGGGCCTGGGCCCCAGAGACCGAGCACCTACATCCAAACTAACGGGGCTTAGGAACGCTTTGGGCTTCTCTGGATTGCACCCCTCTGGCCTTTTCAGTTCTGAATATGTAGCTTCAAGAGAAGCTATACTTAGGAAATTATTTTATTTTATTTAATCATAGCTCCTGCCAACTGCGCTCTGTTGTGCATACCATAAAAATAGTGGAGTTTTTGATTCCTATAAGGGCCTGAAAATTGTTCAGCAACAGTTAAACTGGGCTGGGCTTGCAGCTTCTGTGCCTACACAGCCTTGTAGACCTGAGTCACACATTAAACCGTCTGAGCGCTGGCAGCTGCTGGGTTCAAGAACGTTGCTTACAATAACTACCTCTTTTTTTATTTATTTTTTTTTAAGTCGGCAAGTGAGGTATGTGCTTTGTTGACTTTAATCTCAGTAATGTTTCCTTGTTACTCTTTTCCATTTCAGAGGGCGACAAGGACTTGCAGTTTTGCTTCTCCCCTCCCTTTGTTGTCTTTTAACTAAGCTGAGGAGTGACTTGTAGAATTAGGTAATTTTTGGCAATGGGCATGGGTTTGGGCTGCAGAGCTTGAAGGTCCTTCAAGGTGAGAGGAGGGCAAGGAGAGACGGAGTTAATGCAAATCAGGAGAGAGTGAGGATAAAAATAGCTCTGAACTTGTCAGTTTGGTCACCGGTGGCTTGGGTTAGTCATCTGGCAGGCTCTCTTTCTGTTGCTCCAAGGGATTATTTTACAGCACCGAGATTTGACATAATTTCTGCAGGGGAGAGGGAGCGGGCTGGGGTGTAATGAGTGGGATACTGTCATCAGCACTTCTTTTGCACAGCAGCTGTTCTCTGTTTAGCCGCTGAATGTGGTCATTGTTGACTTTCCCTGTCTACCTGCCAGGTTGTTAGGTGACTCATTTACACATCACACCAAGGTTCATGCACTTGGCTCCCAAACAGCTCCCTTCCCCTTTCCTCGGTGGTCCTTTGGGCACTGAACACCCACTAGTTTTGTCGTTTTCCTGACTGATTCCTGCGTTGCCAGGAGCCTGTCAGAGTAAGTGTCCCGTTGCCCCTGGCAGCTGCTCAAGGCAGGGCAAAAAAGGAAAGAAAAGAGAAAAAAATCAACCCTGGTTGGTGCAGATTTAAACTGATGAGCCCCGAAGGTGTGCTCCTGTGAACGTTCTAAGACCTTGTTTTTGCTGGCTAGGGCAAAAAAGGAAAGAAAAGAGAAAAAAAATCAACCCTGGTTGGTGTAGATTTAAACTGATGAGCCTCGAAGGTGTGCTCCTGTGATCGTTCTGAGACCTTGTTTTTGCTGGCCGCCATTCAAATGTCCCTCCTCCTCCTCTTCTGCTGGGTTCATGGCACTTAACACCTGTATGTGTTTGCTGAGGCTTCTGAATTTTCATGGGTTGTTCAATGACAGAAATGTTTGGTTTAAGATTTTGCAGTTGAGCTGTGAGAGTGACCTCTACAGTTAAGGGACAGTAGAGCATATTCTGGTTTGAAACATTAGAAAAAACCTGGTTTAACTTCCCCAGAATCCAGGGTGAGGGGATCAGGGGCTAAACCCAAGCTGTTAGGTCCTGTGGATTTGTGCTCAGTGTGGTTGTAGGAACTCCTAACTCCCCACGTTCCTATTTCCACCCCACAATACACCCCTGTCCCGTCCCGCGATGCCTTGCTTCCATGCTTCTCCCTGCTTCTCCCTTTCCACCCCTGGCTCCCTTCCACCTCCTCCTGTGCTGCCAACTGGCCAAGATGTGGCATGTGCTGGGACTTGTTGGGAGCTACATTTGCACTAACTGGTCAGCCAGCAGCCCCGCTGATTGACTCGCCAGCTGCTGCCAAGCCCAGGGAATCGGCTTTTCCAGCACCCTCACTGTCCTCTCTCCACCACCAGCTTCCATTAATCCCACACACCCTGAGAGGTCTGCTTTTGTCGGGCTCGACCGAGTATTTCAAAAAGTTGTCAGTGGTGAAGGGGAAGGAAGGGGAGCGGGGGAGGAGCTGTGTACGGGCAGGCTGGGTGCCCAGCCTTGTTTCATTGGAAAGGAAAATGAGAAATGGATTTGAGGGTGACTGAGTGTGAGGAGGAAAGTAATTAGCAGGATTTTATGGCCATTTTATGTAGTGCGAGAGCACAACATAATTTCTCCTGGCTGCACTCTAGGAGAAAATCTTTCATGTCTTCTCTTTTTTTCTTTTTTTTTTAATTCAGTGAATATTCTTCCTGTTTAGTGATACGAGAGTTCCCTCTTCTTTATGGTTTCACTGTTTCTGTTTAAGCTAAGGGAATATACCAAGAAATAAATTTCCCTGTGAAACCTGTGTGGTCTCATATTTTTAGTACTGAGAACAGCGTTGATTTTTCGGCTCTTTGGTGGCACAAATCAGGGGTGGAGAGCTGGCAGTCTTGGGTTCCTTTTTAGCTCCATGCTCAGAGCTTGGGTAGGACCTTGATTTGGTTTAAATGATTTAGTGATCTGATAACCTCCAGCAGCCTCCTGTTTCTCAGGAACTTGAAGCTGCTTCTGCCTGCAAAGTTAAGTATTTTGACAAGTGTTTTTCTTGGTGGTTTTTTTTTTTTTGTTCTTACTCAGTGACTCTCTGAACCTGTGAAATGGCAGTGATGGGCATTACATCCCAAGGAGCTCCTGATCCAGCTGTCAAGCACAAGAAGGAGCTCACACCTACGAAGGGGCTGAATGAGACAGTGAGTGAAAAGCAGAGCAGCGTTTGCAAAGTAGAAGACTCGAAGAAGGTCATCTTTCACAGTCAGTGGAAAATCCTGAGTGATGTAATCACCAAAGGAACAGCAAAAGAAGAAACAGAAGGAGGCTGTGCATCAATTTCTATTATTGCCCAAGCAGAATGTAAGTAGCAGGGCGGTCTGCTCTTCATTGAGGAAAAGGAATGTGCGGGGCGGGATGAGATTTCACTCGCTTTGCACTCCTGGAGAGCTGAGCTGAAATCTATTTGTAATCCCAAGTAGGGTGGAGTTGGTGACACATCCCAGTCTCTATTTAGGAAGCTCATGAAATCTCCTAATAATGTGGCAGCATCTACTGAATAAAGCATAAATAACAGAATAGCATGTGGCCCTTGCACCCAGCTGCTTTGCCTATGAACTTGTGTCCTGCTGGGTCATCTGTTCTTGCCTCTGACTTCTGAAAGGTGTTTTAAAAGAGCGGGGGGAAAAGAGAAGAAAACCAAACCAAAGCTGTCAGGTGGGAAAGAGCTGGGGGATCAGGAGATTGCGGTGCTGAAAAGCCAGCTCATGCTGGGGCAGGAAGGAGGTGTGGGTGATTGTGGCACGACCGTGTGGTGATTTGCCTGGATCACTGTTTGGTTTTAGCAAGTTGGTAGAGTTGTGTCTTAGTCCAGTTGTTACCAGGAGAGGCTTTGCCTGATCTTGAAGACGTGCGATGATCCTGTTTTCTTTCATGCAGGTGAAAACAGTCAGGAGTTCAGCCCCACCTTATCAGAGAGGTCCTTTATTGCTCATAGTAAGCGTTACAGGTGAGAGACTCCTTGGTGTGAACACCCACCTTCGCTGTTGTCTGTGCTGACTTGTTCCAAATCACCCTGGCTCTTACGCTGCGCTTACACTATTTTTTCCATAAGCACTCCTGTTTGGATTAGTTTTTCTGTCTGAGGCTCAGGAAGAGCGTGTCTTTCCCCAAACATCTTCCTCAAAACCTTTTTGTGTTAGGAGAAAATGCAAGTTTAAGCACAAACCACTCGGAACACCTTGCGTTGTCGTATTGTCAATGCCTGCTGATTGTCTTCTACCTCTATTTCTGGGTTGTTGAATTTGTTTTGGAATGACTGAGTCCCTTTTTGAGGTTCTTGGCCTTGAAGTAGAAGCATCCAAGGAAAGGTTTTCAGTCTCCTTGAACTGAACTGTCCTGATGCTTTTGAAACCTTGTTACACCAAAAGTTGTGGGAAACTTAGGCTGCTGCTAGAAGTAGTCCTGAGAAAAAGGAACCGCTTCGTTTCGGGGGGGGAGGGGGGCGAGGATAAACAACAGGGGATGAGAGAAGAACCTTTGCTTAATGACAGCAACAGCCACAGAAACAGAGTTGTGAAGAGAAGCTGAAAGTGGCAAAGGGGAGTAGTGGTTGCAAACAGGGGATGAGAGAAGAACCTTTGCTTAATGACAGCATCAGCCACAGAAACAGAGTCGTGAAGAGAAGCTGAAAGTGGCAAAGGGGGAGTAGCGGTTGCGACAGAAAAATGGAAGCCTGGGTCTTGCTTTTCTGAAGTCGTTTGGGAGCAAGCCACTTCTTCGTGAAGAACGTGTGCCCTGCTGGGGCACGTGCTGGAGCTTTATGTCTTGCTTTTCTGAAGTCGTTTGGGAGCAAGCACTTCTTCGTGGTGGGGCACGTACTGGAGCTTTATCAAGCAGCTCCAGCACTGGCTGAAGTGGGTAACTGGGAGATAGAATTGGGTGCTGTGAGTCTCCTGGCAGCTTTCAGACACCAGGGAGGTGAGTGGCTTGACGTTGCCCACTGGCTTCATGACATTGTCACATGAACCAGCTGAAGAAACGCAGAGTGAATCCTTTCTTAGAGGGTTTCTGTGGCACACACCCCAGCTGTATGTTCAGGTTTGAGGCAATGCAGCAATATCATCACCTAGAACTCTACTTATTGGGCCTTTTAGCACTCGGTGGTGCCCTGAAACAGCAGGAAGAGATGGAGAGGGCACTGCTGGCTGTGAACCGCATCACTCATCAGTAAGGGCGGATGATACACCACGTGGATCAACAGAACAATTACGATTTCTTCATTTGAAGATCAAATATCCTGTTTTCTCTTACAACTTGATTAAAAAAAAATAAAATCTAACTACTATGATTGGTATTGACTAACGGGAGGCAAATGTTCCCCTGTTCAGCCCCCAGTGGATGTGCTGGCCGGTGCTGGTTTGGGTATGTGAGCGTTCCCAGAACTCACCTTGTAGTATCGAGCTCTACGTGCCAGAACATTTTGGCTTTTTGAAGCTATTTTGTTTGAGTGCACTTAGTCATCCCTTTTCTTTGGTGCCAAGCCTATTTTTCTTACAAATAGAGCAGCCCTTTCTATTATGAGCGCTTTTATTAATTTTAACAATTTTTTAAAATAGATTGCATTTACACATAGCCTCTGTGTTCACCATAAATTATGGACACAAACTGTCTCAAAGCAACCTGGAGACATTCAGTGCTTTTCCCTCTACTTTGCCATCTAGTCTTGCTGTTCCTTGCAGAGTTTGCAAATGCTGAGCCTTAATGCTTTGCTTCCTGCTCACACCCCCTGTATTTCTCTCTTACAATGCCAGATATACTGTTGTGCCTTGATATTGAAGTTATGAATGCTCCATATTAGAAGGCAAGAAGTCATGTTATCGTTCTCTGTTCTTTAAATCTCAGAAGGTGGGTCAGAATTGTTAACTGGAGGTGTGTTTTCACCGTCAGATCTAAGAGACTTGATGCATTTTGGTTTCCAATAGCCGGTCGGACAGTCTCGATCAGATCCCTAACAATGTGGCCCACGCGACGGAGGGGAAGATGGCACCTACCTGTTGGAGAGGGAGGCATCGCGGCAAGACGAAAAAGAAACGTCGCAAGAAGAGATCCAAGCTGAAAGGGCAAACGGTGGCTGCTGGCAGGCGAGGTCCCCGAACTCCAGAACAGGAGAGCTGCACCCCAATTCCTGTCCAGGTGAGAGTGCTTAAGCTTCCTTTTGTACCACCTGGACCCCTGCAAACTCCTCCTGATTTGGGGTGGCTGTATTGCAAACTCCTCCTGATTTTGGGTGGCTGTATTGTGTTCCTGCTCAGCTGTTCTGTTTTTTTTTCATTTTCTAGGAGGATGAATCACACCAAACTACTCTTTACAGAAACAGTTTTTGGGATTCAGAATTTAACAAGGACTCGGTCTATGATCCACTGCCATTTGAGAAACCTGAGAAGGTTCTGTCCACGGGCAAACTCCACTCCCCGAGGAGCCAGTACAAAACAGAACTGCACAAGCTGATAAGCCCTATTCAGTGCCTTAATCATGTTTGGAAACCGCACTATCAGAGGGACAGTGTTCCACAACCTGAAACTCTCCATCCTTTTCCCTTCAACATCTTTCCCCCCCACTTCCCACATCCGGACAGTCCCCTCCACGCCGTGAAACATCATGCTCTGGAGACCTACTTCCACGGTGACCTCAACTATCAAGACAGTGAGCATCGCTTATCAGGCCTGAACTTAGAATATAGCTTCCCCAAATGTGTCAACCAGTCCTTGAAAACCAGTTCAGACAAGACTTCTGTGGAAGAATACTTAGCAGATGTCTTGAAGGGGAGCGTGAGTCTTGGTGAACCCCAGCATTTAGCCAGCCTAGCCAAGACGTGGAGAGGAGGTGGTCTGGACCCGAAGGAACAGTTTCATGAAGCAGATGAAAATGAAGGCGTGCTGCTTAATGAGGTGATCTTCTGACCCTACACACTAGTGGTGTGGAAGGCAGAGTTTCTCTTGGGCTTCAGATGAGAGATAATCTGCATCCATAATAATAATAATAATCTGCATTCTGTGAAAAGACTGCGTTTTCTGAATGGTTCTTGCTGTGCTTGCAGACTGCCAGTTAAAGATGCAGGGTTTGGAGGATATAAAGCCTTGTCTGAGATTGGTGGCTCTAATTTGTTTGCTCATTCACAAAATATGCCTGCTTGTCTGGGAGAAGTGCTCCTGTGCTTAGTCAGTCTTCAAACATCCCTTCTGTGTCTGGCTGTGACAGAACCCAGTCCATGCAGGTGAAGAGGCTGCAGTATTTTATTGGCTGTAGATGACCTGGACTGTGTCACAGACAGAAACCAGGGACGTGTAGATGGTGAAGGTGCAAAATAGCGTGTCTGCTGCCCCTGGTAGGAAGCCAGCAACTGCATGTAAATCTGAGAGGCATGATTCATTTCTTCTGAATTGAGTTCTCTCTTGCCACCTTCAACTCCTCCTGGAGGACTCTTCTCTGGAATCAGTGTGACCCTGTCGGTATTGTCACTGGAGTTCAGGGTGTCACTTACCTGCCTGAACATATTTACACTGAGACCTAAGGCAGATCTCAGTCTACTGGCGATCAAAAAGGTTTATCTCCCACATAAATGTCTACATTTAGTCACATGAATCTTGTTTTGTTTGTAGGATTTAGCTTTGCAGTTATGTCCTGCATGTGAAGGGAGTAGTGTGGAGCTCCAAAGCTATCCAAGTGCTGGCAGCCTTTCTTTACAACATTCGTTTAGATAAGAGCCCCCAGAAATCAAGTAGGTCCTCCCGTATTGATCATCTCAAGCCTGTGACAGAAATGATTTCATACAGGGACTTCGGGAGGTGCAGTGGTGTCTATCAGTGTGCTTTTTCTGAAGATGTGGGTCTCTCTCTGTGGAGCTCGACAGTTCAGTGTTTCTTACCTTGCTTCATCTTGTTTTCTGATTTTTTTTTTAACTTCCAGAAACTAAAGCCGGTGGATTACGAGTACCGAGAAGAGGTTCATTGGACCAAGTGTCACGGTTCTTTGGGCGTTGGCTCTTTTGGAGAAGTCTACAAAATAGAGGACAAACAGACGGGGTTCCAGTGTGCTGCCAAAAAGGTAATTATGTGTAGAAATAGCGGGGGCACAGAGAAAAAGCCTTGCTTTTCCACTTCCATGGACCGTAGGTACCTTATTGTACAGTTACAGTGAAAGGCTGCTCTGGTTATGTCCAAGGAGAAACTTCAAGGTGATGGCACAGAGAGGAGGAGGAGGAGAACCTGTCTGTGCTTAGCAGGCAGAAATAGGTTCCTTTGGCCTTCAAAGGGTGGTACGAGGTGTGTTGGGTCTGTGCTGAGACAGGCTGAGCGTGGAGATGGCAGAGATTGTAAAAGTGTTCCTGAGGACTGCGGGGGAGAAGCGGCTGCATGAGCTGTCTGCTTATCTAACTGTTCTCCTCTTAAAACACCTCTGGTGTAAATGGTGACATGGCAGGTGCTTCTCTGGTGAAAAAGCAATAAAGTAGGAAAAAAAATTAGGCAGTCTGTAGGCACTTAAAACAGAGAGAGCTTTTGTCTGTTCACTGAGTGTCACATGCGATACTGGCACGTTGTAATGAGGGGATTCTGCTACAGATGCAGCAAAGGATGTGTGTTTTTCCAGAAGCTGGCAGAATAATCTATTGTGCATCAAGATATGCCATTGTCATACGGTGTATGAAGCGTGTAGAATGGGACTTGAGTCAGGGTATTAATTTGTAGGCAGCCATGGGGGAGCTCAGAGGTGAAGGCTGAGTGATGATGGAAGTAGATGATGAGAATATAAACCTATTTTGTTTGAACTTAACACTTGAATAGTTCCACCACCTCTCTGAACTGCTTTCTCCCATTACTCCAATAAAAAAACTTCAACAAGTGTGTGGGAAGCGAACTTAACACTTGAATAGTTCCACCACCTCTCTGAACTGCTGTTTCTCCCATTACTCCAATAAAAAAAACTTCAACAAGTGTGTGGGAAGCACTTGTCTTGAGTACAGACCTATTATATGCAAAAAGAATTGGAAGTGGCATTTTTCAATTTAAAATGCTTGCTTTTTCTTCTTTACATTGGTTTCAACTTGATGTATGGCCTGGTGGAAAGATGTACGTGGCAAGACTAAGGCAGCTTGTCCAGTTTTTTAACCATTTAATTTATCAGCTGTAAAGAAGAAGGGTATTTAAAGTATGTAGAAAATTAATTCCTATTCTGCATCCTCACATTTTAGATATAGAATTTTGGGGCAATGTGACCAGCTTGTTTTCCAACAGCATGTAACTACATAAATTTATTACCTATTTCATATTTTGTAGAAGTAGCTGCTGCTAGTGTATATTTTCAGGTGGTGGTGCTGAAAAGACAGACATTAGAGTAGGAGAAGCTGCAGTCTTTCAAAATATCACTTACTTTTTTTTCCTAATTGCTGGAGAATTTCAAAAGATAATTCTGTAGACCAGAAATACATCATTTCACACCAAACTCTTTAACCAGGGGCTTCTAACGTGCTAGTTGAATGCTTAACTAGGATGGATTTTGTTTGACATCAGTAACTGTCTGGAATTGCTGCTGCCTGCCTGTGCTAGCAGGGGACTGCCTGACCTTCTTTCACCATACTTGGTGGTGTAAGCACCTGCTCTCCAAATTCTTGAGATTAAAGAAAACTAGCTATAGCTGGATTGCTGACAGTGAAGAAACATGATACATCCTTTTCCCACCAGAATCTTAATGACTCATGTTTTCCTTCTGGTCTTTAGCAAATTCTTGTTGTGTTTTGTTTGGCTGAACTTGGTTAAAGAGAAGCTCTATTCACTATTTTTCTGTGCAGGCTCAGTACCACCTAAAAGGGTGAAAGTATTGATCACTACTTGTGGCCATAGGCTCAGTACCACCTAAAAGGGTGAAAGTATCGATCACTGCTTGTGGCCATGCTTCATACTCCCTCCTGTTTTGGGTGGGTTTCATTTTTGCCAAGTACTGCACAATCCCTAGATATTATTTTCTTTTCTTCTTTCATGAAAGCAGAATGGGTGAGTTGTCAGTATTATCTTTTTAACTGAGGCACAAATTACCTTCCTCCTGAAGATTACCAGTACTTGGCCATAAGCTGGACGTGTTGCAGCCTGGCATTTTTTGTGGCAAATCTTTATTCAGACACTGAGGATTTAGGGACTCTCATTGTCCTTGTTCAAAATCGTTCTGAGCGTTTCCACTTATTGCTGCACCCACTAATTTCTGTTAATGACAGTTATCCCTGTCCCTCCGCTGTTAAACACTGTGGGACACTGACCCAGGCATCAGGGGGGACAGTTCTATTTGGATTTGTCACAAAATTTGTTCTCTGCTGCTTCTTTGTTTCTCCAGGTGCAAGTTGACCACTTCCGTGCAGAGGAGCTGACGACGTGCGCTGCGATAACAAGTCCTAAAGTTGTCCCCTTGTACGGAGCTGTGAAGGAGGGACCTTGGGTGACCATCTTCATGAAGCTGATGGAGGGTGAGAAGGGAACCCCAATGGAAGCACCATTGTAACTGCTGAATGCAGTGGACATTGAGCTCCTCTTCCTCCTGCCCCGCTTTTAAATCTGTTAATTCTTTGGTGTATCCAGAGTGTTCCTAGCGTTAATTCCTGAGTGGGTTGGGATAGGTATGTGTAACCCCTGCTGGTGTGGGCTTTCTTGGGGGGGAATGGTTTCCAGTCCTGCCTCACGCCAGTTCAAGGATGTGCATCTCTTGAACAGCAGCTGCAAATTCCCACTAAAACACATACCTGGTGCTGGTTTTTGCTTTCATGTTTATTTGCATGGCACATTTTGTTGGAAAAGGGGATGTTGCAAAGCAAAGTTAGATGCTTCCGTTGCCTGATGCTCTTTTTCCAGCCAGGACCATGGAAATTGCAGCCTGTGCAGGATCAGCTGGTGATCAGTAGCACCTGGAAATGTCTGATCTGATCACAGAGGAGTTGCTTTTGATACAAAGCAATGCCGTTAAGCTGACTGCTTTTTTTTCATGAAAGAGGCCAGTTTTGGTGGGCAGCAGGAACTCTGGGAATAAACAGAAGAACCAGACCCACACGTGGAAGATAAGGGCTGTCAGACCTGGCAGTTCTCATTTCTTCATCAGAAACAACGAGAAATGCTAATGATGCTGGGAAGACTTTAAAGATAAGCTAATGTGGACTCTCTGGATTCCTTTCTAGGTGGCTCACTAGGTCAGCTAATTAAACAGAGTGGCTGCCTGCCAGAGGACAGAGCCCTCAGTTATTTGGGCCAGGCGTTGGAGGGCTTGGAGTATCTTCATGCTCAAAACATTCTCCATGGAGATGTAAAAGGTAGGATGGTACTTAAGATACCTTCTTCTTCCCTTTTTCTTACGAAAGCCAAACTGCTTGGTGATTAAGTTACTGAGTGTCAGAAGGTTATTTACTTGATTTTCAGCTCTGCATTTGAGATTAGAGCTTAACTTGGTTCTAAAGAGCTTGAGCTCGTAGACCAAATCCCAACCAACTCATAGACCAACCCTTCCAACCCAAACCAGCTTGTAGACTGGTTTGGGTTGGAAGGAACCTTAAAGCCCCCCCAGTGCCACCCCCTGCCCTGGGCAGGGACACCTCCCACCACACCAGGTTGCTCCAAGCCCCCTCCAACCTGGACTTGAACCCCTCCAGGGATGGGGCAGCCACAGCTTCTCTGGCCAACCTGGGCCAGTGCAAATATCATATTTGTCACCTCTTCACAGCTTCTCTGGGCAACCTGGGCCAGTGCAAATACCATATTTGTCACCTCTTTCTTTTTGTCATCTGGTGGCTCTGGCAGGCTGTTTGCCCAGGCTGCCCCGCCACTGGGGTAGAGAAATCTCCAGGACAGATAATTGGTAGTTTATAAATAGAGATAATTATAGCTGTGTAATTACTTAAGCCAGGGACACGCCATAGGAGTAATAGACCTTGGTTTGGGCTCAAAAAACTGCAGTTCTGTGGGCTTTTGGCTTTTTTCCATCTCAGTAACAAAGGAGACTTAATTAAAAACCTCTCATTGGCAGCGGAGAACGTGCTCTTGTCTGATGATGGGAGCAGGGCCCTCCTGTGTGACTTCGGTCACTCCGCTCACCTGCATCCGGACGGCCTGGGAAAGTGCTTGGTCACAGGTAAGGGTTTGCTGCTGCCATTCTAGAGAATTGCCCTACTGACTCATTCTTTCTCTTTGAACATTTACATACGGCTCATTTGCAAGCAACTGTATTTTCCAGGCTTAACGTTGCTCGTAGTGTCATATTTATTGATATTACTGTGATGTATCCCACTGACACCTAGCATGACCTGAAGGATGGAAGGTGGTCCTCAGCTCCCAGTCGAGGAGGCTGTTGTATTCTTTGTGAGACTGTGCCTGCATACTGCGTTGGGTGTTTTGTCCCTGAAAGAAACCACATTGAAACTTAAAAATCTATCTCTGACTTGTCACTTAACCTCACAGAACAGCCAGGGAGGAGTCCTGACCTCCACCAAAGCTAAATTCCTCACTGAATTTTGGGGCGGTTAAACTTTACAGTGCTTCTTAATGCACCCATTGAAAGAGAAGGATATGTTTTCTATGGCCGAGCTCACCAATGGAGTGTCATGTTTTGCCTCCCAAATTTGCTTGGAAAGGGGAATGTAACACCTCTTTTGTGCGTAAGAGACGAGATCGATCTGGAGATGTAGCTTCTGAACAGCTTATAAGAGCACACAGTGCTGCTGTTTGGGTTGAAGGGACTTGTTTCTCACTTTAACTGAAAAGAGGCTGCCTTAGGCTTCCCAGCAGTTGCATTGGAGCAATTCTCTGCTTTACGTGCAGTGAGTTTTCACCTGAATGCTTTCAGGGAACTACGTGCCTGGCACAGAGACTCACATGGCCCCGGAGGTGGTGATGGGCAAGCGCTGTGACTCCAAGGTGGACGTCTGGAGCAGCTGCTGCATGATGCTGCACATGCTCAACGGGTGCCACCCTTGGACCCAGTATTACAATCACCCGCTCTGTCTGAAGGTGAGTGACCCAAGATTTCCCCAGGAAAAGCTACGTAAGCCCATAAAATCTCATTATGCCTAACTAGAGAGCAATCATTTCAGGAAATCTGTTATCTAAGGTGATGCCAACCTTGCCTTGGCAGCTGATAATTTCTTACGCCTCTCAGACTGCTGTGTATCACACGTAGTGGGGGTTTCTTTCCTGTCCTGCTCATGACTTGGGTGTGACTTTTCAGCCGTTCTGCTGTGATAAAATTACTGCTCAGGTCTCTCATTTAATGCTGTAATTTCGGTTGGAAACGCTCTCGGGGTGGGAAGGACCTTTCTGAAATCAAACGAAGCCTCTCTGGTCTAACCTCTTTCGCTTCCTGTTTGTTACACAGATAGCTAAAGAGCCACCTCCTCTGAGGGAAATTCCACCTTCCTGCAACCCTCTCACTGCCGAGATTATTAAAATGGGCCTGGAGAAGGAGCCAGTTCAGAGAGCATCTGCCTCTGAACTTAAAACTAAGACCAGCGTGGCGCTTGAAGAAGGTAGAAATGTCCTGTATCTAAAGCTTTTTATCCGCAGTGGGGAAGTGGCCCGTGGCTAGTTGTGTCGGAGTGGTCCTGTAGGGAAGCAGCAGCATGTTTTGCTGTTCAGTGTGTCCTTTGCTCAGGCCTCAGCACTGCTGTATATTTTTGAGCTGATGGCTTTTGCCCGCAGCCGGGTGTTTCTCGCCCAAAGAAATGAAAATTTCCTGTGTGTTGTCACATGCTCTTTCTTCCTTCTCTGCTCAAAGCAGACGATGCTGTGCCTTGTGTGGGTTTATGAAGGTGTGTGCTGTGGCTGTACTCAGCTGAAGCATCAACTGCAGCCAGCGAGCTGGAGCCTGGCGTGCAGCAAAACTGAAAGCAGAGGTTGATTGCATCCTGAGCTGTAACTCACGCTTCTGGGCCAGCCTTGCCTCTAAGACTGCCCATAATTTATTTCAGCTTCATCCTTCTGACAGGTTCTGTAACACAGCAAGAATTCGTAGAGGTGATCTGGGTTTCTTTTGAAGGAGCTGGGCATTTTACAGGGAGATACAGTTCAGAAATTCATAGAATCGTGGAAAGGTTAGAGTTGGAAGGGACCTTAAAGATCATAGAGTTCCAACCCCTCTGCCCTGGGCAGGGACACCTCCCACCACACCAGGTTGCTCAGAGAACTCTTATTGTGAAGGAAAACTTTTACCTTTTTTTTTTTTTCTTATTTGATAATGTTTGTATGCTTTTTGTTTTTGTAGTGGGAGGCGTGACAAGCCCCTGGAAAGGCGAATACCGAGAGCCTAGACATTTATCTTTGAACAAAGAAAACAATCCACAAACGTCCCTGTCCCCCACAGTGAGCCCAGTTTCTGAGACAGGTTCTCACCAAAAATTGGCAGTCAAGGTTTCTGGTGCAAGCCCGGTCCCACCACCCCCTCCATCTCTGGAGCAAACGGAGGAGGTGGAGGGGACCCCTTGGAACGCCTGCAAGGAGTTACCTGAGACCTGGGATCCTCCACCTCTGTCCTCAACCCCTCTCCCTCTGAAGAGCTGTGGCCACGTGGAGAAAGCAACAACCATTTCAGAGCAAGAGCTTCAGCAGCTGGAAATAGGTAAGGGATGTGCTATGCAGGGAATTCAGCTTCTGCTTCAGAGCATGATAAAAATACAGCTGCTTTCTTTTGGCCTCTTGACAGTTATTTCTGGGTTTTGAGCTTGGATGTCATTTTGTTCATAGTTCCTCTCTCGTTACACAAATTGCTCAGCCTATAAATTACCAAAACCAGTAGCTCTTAACCAATTAAATATGCCACGAAGGTAGCGGTCAGGGTTTTCTCCCACTTTCTGAAGAGTGGAGCAAACTTCTGCGAGAGGTGCAGGAACCTCCCAAAAAACACCCAATTTCAGACTGTTGTTATATGCACCACGTAGTGTCTGCCATACCAACTTCATCTGACATTTTAGATTTTCAAACATAATTCTTTTAATAAAGGGATAAGCCTGTTGGATGGGAGATGTCAAAAGAAGCCATATCAGTCTGCAGCTGTTGAATTCTGGGCAATGGAAAACCTGTAGCCACCAGCCAAGGAGTTTGATTACCAGCAGCAATCCAGGGTTTGAAAACCAGCTGTAAGTTCAGGGTGAAAATTGGTGAAGTGACAGTGCAGTTCCATTGCCCCAGTATAACTTGGCCTTTCCCTTTTTTTATCCCATATTTTCTAGTCTTTGTAAATGAATTGAAAACTTAAGGCTAGGAAACCAGTCTCTTGAAGTGTAACTGGTGTCCCAGAACTGAGGAATGGCATTTTGGGGGTTGCTGAGGGCCAGTTTTCTTCTCTAGTGGCTTTGGATCTTCAGCAGCCTTGTCAGGTCAGGATGTTATCAGCACATGTTACTGCAGGAGCCAAGTACAGTTTGGCCTTTCCCTGGGGATGGTGTGGGTGGATCCAGAGGGAAGACTGATCGGTGACATAATGGGCAGGAACTGGGAAATTCTGGGTGCTGGTCCCACCTCTGGCATTTTGCATGTCATTGCACAGTCTGTCTGTCTGTTCTGGCTCAGTTTCCCTATTTTCAGGGGTAGCAGTAGCCTCTGCTTAGCAGAGGAGTTGTGCATCGTGTGTTTTGCAGACACTAATATCAATGTTTGTTAGATAATGCTGAAGCAGCTTTGGCTATTAATTGCAATAACAGTGATTAGAGCAGGGAGGCATGAAAGGAATCGCTGGAAATGTCTTCCTTCTGTTCCCTTTTGCTTGCAGAACTGTTTTTGAACAGCCTTTCCCAGCCTTACTCGCTGGAAGAGCAAGAACAAATGCTTTCCTGTCTCAGCATCGACAGCCCCTTTGTCTCAGATGCCAGTGAGAAGGTGAGTGGGGGCCAGCCCCGTTCCTGGGGGGTGGCGGGGAACCACCTCTGGGAAACTGGAAGCTGTGCCCAGTGGACATCTGGAGTTTCTCACTTCATTGCTGCCTTTTGACACCCAGTTTGCTGGGAGGTACCTTGGGAAGACATCGTTGCTCTTGGATAGTGGGCTACTGGGGGCTCTGGTGGTTCTTTAGCTTAGTGTCCAGTGTGGACCCCGTTCCCCTGGTTGCTCCCCTGTGCTGTACACTCACAGCAAGTGTGAGGACATGGAAAATCTCAGTCACCTTGACCATGTCTGTGCAGAAGAAAGGAGCTTGAAGCAGCAGTGATGAGCACAGGAGCTGGAGCAAGTCAAACAAGCAGTGGTGCAGCCCAGGGTCTTCTTCCTGGCAGTGGCCACTAAAGGGGTGTTTGGGGAAAGACCAGGAGAACAGAGACCCTAATCTTGGATATTCATTCGCAACCTAAGGTTCTGTTCTCCATGAACTTCCTTTATAATGACTTACATAGTCTAAGTTACTTAAATACTAAGTTTAATTAATTTTGTTTGCTCTGTCTCTGGTGTTCCTAAGGTAGGGAATATCGGTGAGAAACACTAAATAAGCCTTGTTGAACCAGGGAGGGACGGACGCCCTTCAGTCATTGTTTTCAGAGACATAGAGTCCAGAATTGCGTAGCCTGCCATCTACAGGAGTCATTTCTGACTCTGATCATCTTTGCTTCCTATTTCTGTTCCTCTTCTCAGCCTTCTAATGCTTTTCAAGGAGGACTGAGCAGAGTTCTGTGCAGCAGTTTAGCTCTGGACACAGCATGGGATGCAGTGTGGGATGTGACTCTGCTTCTGATTTTGGTTTTTTTTTTTTCCTTAATATGTAACCCTAGTGTTTAATTTGACTTTTGACTGGTGCTTACCACTATGCTGATGTTCTCAGATTGCCCTTCTGTGACCCTGAGGTAGAATAAGCTTTTCCTACAGCGATGTAGGGTCCATAGTTGTTCATGTACAGTTAACTGTTCTTCCTGGCTCTTACTTGTCACTTATTGCCATTAGAATTTTAACTGATGCTTTATTCTCCTGTCACTAAATATGATAAAACCCCTTTTTTTCCCCTCATCCAGCTCTTCAGCTGATTGATTTGGCTGTTGAGAATATCTTATTCTGTCTGCGCACATTGCTATTCATCCCCTTTTCTAGATGGCAGGTAATTGTTGAAGAACTCAAGGCCCAGCCTAGATCCCTGTGGATTTCTACTTTTTTCTTCTTGAGGTTATTTTAATGTTCATGCTACGCAAGTTCCCTTTGTCTAGGAGCCTTTGACAAACTCCTCCTTATTTCTGCAGAACTCCATGAAGGCTTCTCACAGCTTGAGGGACACTATGAGCTCTGGGATTCATTCCTGGAACAGCCAGGCAGATGGACAGAGCTTCAGCTGGAACAACCTGCTGAACCGCAGTCGGCACACGGACACTCCCAGCTACTTCAATGGTGAGTCTGAACTTCTGAAGTTTGGATAAATGATCAGGTTGGGTTTTTTTTCCAATATCTAGATGGTCTGGGATATGGAGTCCTTGAGTTCTTCTTATCCTTCATTTGCTGTGCCAGCTCAGACCCTCCTAAAAGCACGTGGGTTGTGGAGAGGCCAAGTCTGCCCCAGCCGTAGCTGGGTGGAGGGCACTTAAGGCTCTATGGTCCAGTAACAAGAGAAGTTCCTGAACACACAGGGTCTGGTTCAGCTTTGTGTGCCTCGCCTCGTGCAACTGCCATGTGCCACAACATATGCTTTATAACCATAAATGTCTACAAAGTCGTTTTGAGGGCATGTTGTGCAAATCAGTGCGTCCCTTCAGCTGCTTTCTTGCTAAATCCAGCTCTGCTCTGTGAGTCATCGTTGTCTTCACCCAGACTCCATGCTCAGAGAGAGACCTACATAAATGAAATGCTTAATGACGAAAACGAGTTTTCTGAGATATGTGCATTGCTAGTCAGTGTTTCTGTGCTGGACTGTGAAATTGTTGTGGCTCCAGCAGGAGGTAATGACTTCTCTTGTGCGTTCCAGGAGTGAAAATCCAGATCCAGTTGCTAAGTGGAGAAAATCTACACATCAGGGACTTCCACAGGACGAAGGTGGGAGACATCGCCACTGGGATAAGCAGCCAGGTGAGACACAAACTGGGAGTTAGGGGCAGTGTTTTGTCTGAGAATCAATTGCTTCCATAATTCAGCCTTGTAATGCCTTAAAACCAGTGACCCAGAGTCCACTCCAGGATCCTAACGACACGTTTAGTACCGTAACTTTGGTGCTGCTGTGAGGAGTGTGATACCAGGAGGTGTTTTGTGAATCATAAGCCATTGCTAACTGTCATAGGGACCATAGGGATCTCCATCTGACAAACTACCTGTGCTGCAGCTTAAAAATCCCTCTTCTTGACTATAAATATAAATCTTTTCCCCTCTCCCTGAAGAAGAATCAGTATATGACTTTTTAATCAAGAGCAGTAATATCAGCCAAGGGAAAGGGGCTGTGTTGGGTGTGATGCTTCTCGCTTGTTAGTTTGGAAGAGATACTGGCAGGCTCCAGAGAACCTCGCTGTGGGCCTCTTTGGCAGTCCCTGAAAGAAACATTTGAGTGCTTGTGGGACTGGGACTCATCTGAGTGTGAAATGTGGTGATCATCTCTATACAGAGGTTGTGGAGGTCCAGAAAATGTTTTAGTGGTGTTGGTTCTCTTTGGTGTACTTCGTTCTCTTGGACATCACAAAGCAAAATACCACTAGCCTGCAAAGGAATTCACAGTGCCCAAGCACAGGCAGATCAGGAACCACCACCAATGGTCAAAAAATTGGATAAGGCAATTCAACAGTGGGATGAATGCTACCTAGTCCAGTTTCTGAGATGCTTTCTCACAAGAGAAGGTTGGATGTTCTTGTTGAAGTGGGGCCAGAGGAGGCCCCGGAGATGCTGGGAGGGCTGGAGCCCCTCTGCTGGGAGGGGGGGCTGAGAGAGGTGAGGAGGTTCAGCCTGGAGAAGAGAAGGCTCCGGGGAGACCTTGGAGCCCCTTCCAGTCCCTCAAGGGGCTCCAGGAGAGATGGGGAGGGACTCTGGATGAGGGAGGGGAGCCCTAGGAGGAGGGGGAAGGGTTTGAGCCTGAAAGAGGGGAGATGGAGCTGAGCTGTGGGGAAGAACTTGTTTGGTGTGAGGGTGGTGAGAGCCTGGCCCAGGTTGCCCAGAGAAGCTGTGGCTGCCCCATCCCTGGAGGGGTTCAAGGTCAGGTTGGAGGGGGCTTGGAGCAACCTGGTGTGGTGGGAGGTGTCCCTGCCCAGGGCAGGGGGTGGCACTGGGGGGACTTTAAGGTCCTTCCCAACCTAAACCATTCCATGACTCTATGCTAAGCACAAGCTTCTCTCCAGGAGCTGTTCTTGGGTTGGGAAACCGTTTGCTGGGATTGATAGAGGGAAATGTTCTGGAAGAGAAGTGTCACTGAGATCTCTTTGTTCTGCTTCACAGATACCAGTCCCTGCTTTCAGCCTGGTGACTAAGGAAGGCCAACCAGTTCACTACGACATGGAGGTCCCCGACTCCGGCATCGAGCTGCAGTGCACCCTCGCCCCTGACTGCAGCGTCAGCTGGACATGGCGAGTCAAACACGGTCAGCTGGAGAACAGGCCGTGAAGCCGTTCCTGTTTTGGAGGTTTTTACCTTGTTGAAAGAAGGAATTGCAAAAGCTTCTGACCACCCCTGCCATGGAGCACCAAGTGCAGTTGCTGGTGTTTTGTGCTGACGTAGGATAGCGGTTCAGCAGCTCACTGCTCCCGGGCCTCACCTCTCTTGCCTGTTCTGATCCAGTTCCAAGACACGTCCTGAGCTTAGATGTTCCCCAGAACAGTGGGAATTACTCGTTTTGGGTGTGAGTGTTAAGCTGAGCTTGAGAACGGTGGGTGGAAATTCCTGCTTTTCAGAGGAATGTGATTGTGCTTTTCAGGAGAACAGGGGGATTGGATGGGAGCTCCTGGGGCTCAGCCTCCTGGGAGAAGACAGTAGCTGCTGGGCTTGCCCAAGGGAGGAGGTTGAGTATCTTTGGTGCAGCTGTGGTTGTTTGTGCCAAGGGGAGCTGGCTGACTTCCTTCTCGCTGGAGGGAAGGCAACGTTTCTGTAGGCTTTGGGTAACATCAGCTCTACCTCAAGCCTTTTGCACGGGGAAAATCGACAGCAGTCAGTAGCTGGGTTCTTGGTTTCACCTCCCACCCTTCCCCGCAGACGCTTCCTTCTTGAATCAGAAAAGAACTTAGTTCCCAGAAAGAGCTTTGCTTGCAGCTCTCCTCTTCAGGTCTCCTCCCCGGCTTTGGGGCCGGTGCTCTCTCTCCAGGGTCTGGCAGGTAGGGCAGGAGGAGGGCACGGTGTTCCTCACCATGGGGCAGGGTGGAAGGGTGGTGTTTCTCCATCCTCTTTCCATGGCTGACTCGGGACTTGATGTGAAGGGTCCCATCCAGGCAGCTCCCCCTGGAGGGGGAAGGGACGGTGGCTCGTTCAGCTCGGAAAAAGTCTGAATTTTGCTGCAGGGTTTATAAAATCTCTCTCCTGGCTACGGATCCGTCCCCTGGGCTGGAGTTGCCCCGGTGGTGTGGGGGGTGTTAGCTCAGCCTGGCTCCACCAGTGCTCCCGACCGGCACGAGGCTTCGGACCCCCTACCTCAACCTGTGCTGAAGGAGTGGGATGGGCAGCTGGGCCCAGAGTGCCTTAAGCTTTGAATTTTATTCTATTTTTTTGTACTGATTTGTGAGTTTTTTGGTATACACTGAAACTGTATGGGTCGAGTTTAGATGGGCAGGTGTTGTTAGCCCTTCTGTAACCCAGAAGAAAAACCACCAGAGGGAGGTGTCAGCTCTGAGTGTGGTTCTCCAGGACTGCTCCAAGTCCTGGCACGCCGTCCACGCTGTGCTGTGGCTCTGCCAGAGTGCCCTGAACGTTGGTGGCCTCTGGGCAGGAGCTATCAGCATCCAGGCTGAAGAGACAAACAGCTCCCAAAAAGCAGGGTAGGCCCTGCCGGACCCGCTGGTTCTGGGGGACACAACGGGGGCAGGAGTTATTTGCAGCTTTTTCAAGTGAAATTCACTTAGAAAACAGCTGGGGAAAGTTATATTCTGAGGACCAGGGCTCCTCAAGCAACTGATGCACTTTCCCTTTGGTCTCCCAGAACATGGGCTGGTTTCGATACGGCAGCGACAGCCCCAAGCAGGAACCCCGAGTTGTGATGTAATAAACAAGTGTAACTCTTGAAGAAAAAATTAAACCCGCTACCACTATGGGTATAGTTCTTATAGCACTTTTTGTTCTAAAGCACTTAAAACGTTGTCCAAAACAGGCACGTAATTATATTTGAAAAACCACATTAAGAGCCTTTTTAGTAAACAATTAGCACATTACGCACATCTCTTCCAGGAAGGAGTGGGGGGAGTGGGTAGGTTGGCTTGATTTTTTTTGGTTTTTCTCAGATGCCATAAACTGCAAAGAGTTGTAGGCTCTGGAGCAGGAGGGATCCAGATGCCTTCCTGGGAGCTCCCAGGCACATCTCCAGTGCCCTGACCCATCTCCCCGGGCCTGGTGCCCTTCCTGGGCTTCCTCTGAGGGGGGGGCAGGAGAAAAACCTGTTGGTTGTTTGTAAGAAGAGCCTGTTGGTGACGTGTGGGTGTGACACGCCGCTGGTGGCCGTGTGTCTGTTCCCTTCCCAAGGGCTGTGTCGTGGCTTTCGCTGTTGCCTGTACTGGTGCAGGGGTCTGGTGGACTGGTGGTGGACTGGGGTGCTGCTGGGCAGGAGGCAGCAGCCCTCCCTTCACGGGGCTGTGAGCTTTGCACTTCAGTGAGAGCATTAATCTTATCTCAGGCCCCCAACGCCGGGGGGTGACGGGCAGTGAAACCCTGGTGCCCCCAGAGTGTCTTTGTTGGGCAGAGGGAGGGGGCCGTGTCCTCCTGTTCCCACCAGCATTACCCGGGGTCTCCATCCCCCTCCTGCTGTCCCAAACCTTCCGTCCTATTTGGCTGCCACCTCAGGTGAAGCAGGGAGGGTGCAGATCCCCACCCACCAACCCTTTTTGGTGACAGCCAGCCCGAGGACAGGACAGACGCTTGGGCCAATTCCACTGGTGCTTCCTTCCTGTCCTGAAACGTGGTTCTGCTCCCAGCAGCATCCCCAGGGATCTCATGGGAGTGCTACCTCCCAGCTCGGGGATCTCCTCGACTCCCTCCTACTGCTGGGGACAATTTCCTTTTAATTCAGCTGGTCTTTTTTGCTGTGACAGGAATAAAAAATTCAGTTGCAAATCAAGGCTGGTTCTTCAGTACTCGGAGAAGAGAAAATCAGGAAAGCTTTGTTATCCCCATTAAAAATTTGGCTGAATCCATGTGTAATAACAGAGTCTGTAGGACAGAACCCCCAGATCGGGGTAGGGAGGACAAACAGCAGCAGGAGTGAGAAACACAGATGGTTCATGTCGTGTGGATCCTTCCCAAAGTTGGGAAAAATGACTGTTGGCAAAGGGCTGGGAAGCCGGGGGTCTGACGGGGGGGGCAGTGCTGGCGTGGGTGAAGGTGACAGGATGATGAGCCTGTGTTGAACGAATGACACTTTACAAAACTGTGAGTTCTTGAAATGAACATTGTTGACCTGCATTTTCACAGGGAAAAAAAAAAATAAAGCTGGGAAAAGGACATTTAATATCAGAGGCTAATAGTGCAATGAGTTTTAGGTGTAAATTTACATATAAAAATCACACTGAATTGATTTTTTTTTAGATGAAATGTGCCTAAGTAATTACTTAGTGCCTAAGTAATAATGTCCTAAACCAGTATAAATAGAATACAGAGATTATTAGTTCAGAAGCTACAGCAATAATTCTAAGCTCACAAAGAAATCCTACGCTGTTAACCTCTAAAGAGCACCTAAACATTGTACCAAAAAAAAAAAAAAAAAGCGGGGAAAAAAAAAAAAAAAGATTCATCCTTCTCCTTGGGGGTGGGTGGATGGGTGGGTTACTGTGTTATCCCAGGGGACAAGACAATGGTGGTGAATGTGGCATTTTTCAAGAAGAGGAGCCTGGTTTGATTAAAGCCTGCTGTATGTTACCCTGGTGCTGGGGGACGCAGGGAGAAGTCATTCCTGGGTATGAACACGGGATTTGTTAAATATAGAATCATGGAATCACAGAATGGTTTGGGTCCAACCTGCCCTTGAACCCCTCCAGGGATGGGGAGATCTTTTCACCTGTTTAACTCTACCAGCTCCTTGGCTTTCATCTCTCTCCAGCTCTGCCCTTTACCTCTCCTCCCATCAGCAGTGACTTCCAAGCAGGCCCACCCACTGCCCAGCTCTCCACAGCAGCTGGAGGAAGACTTTTTTTCCCCTTCACCATCATATTTTGCAGCTCCAGGTCCCTGGGTGACTGCCTTTGCCAGCGTGAGCCCAGCAGTGTGTCTTTGTGTGCTCAAGTGAAGGAGCAGCAGGAGCTCTAGAGCACAGCTCTGTGTTGGGTCATGGGATCATGGGATGGTTTGGGTGGGAAGGGACCTTAAGGACCATCCAGTGCCACCCCCTGCCCTGGGCAGGGACACCTCCCACCAGCCCAGGTTGCTCCAAGCCCCCTCCAACCTGCCCTTGAACCCCTCCAGGGATGGGGCAGCCACAGCTTCTCTGGCCAACCTGGGCCAGGCTCTCACCACCCTCACACCAAACAAGTTCTTCCCCACAGCTCAGCTCCATCTCCCCTCTTGCAGGGTCAAACCCTTCCCCCTCCTCCTAGGGCTCCCCTCCCTCATCCAGAGTCCCTCCCCATCTCTCCTGGAGCCCCTTGAGGGACTGGAAGGGGCTCCAAGGTCTCCCCGGAGCCTCCACTTCTCCAGGCTGAGACTTTTCCCTTCTGTTTCAGAAGCAGAAGGAGATGGAGTTGGAAGGGACCTCTGGAGACCATCCAGTCCAACCCCCTGCCAGAGCAGGTCCACCCAGAGCAGGTCCCACAGGAACATGTTCTGGTGGGTTTGAATGTCTCCAGAGAAGGAGACTCCACCACCTCCCTGGGCAGCCTCTGCCAGGGCTCTGCCACCCTCACAGGAAAGAGATTCCTCCTTGTGTTGAAGGTGGAAGTTCTTATACTCAAGTTTGTACCCATTCCCTCTTGTCCTGCTGTCCCCTGTGGGAGTGGCTGTGCCCCCCGCTGCAGTCGGGGGCAAATCAGAAATACATCTCCCACTGAGCAAAATGGTGCAAGGACCATGGTCACCACTTCTGGAACCTGCTCCTCATGAAGGAGGTCATGGGTTGTCAGTGGAGGAACAAGCTCCTGCATCCCTCTGTCCCCCTGTCCCTCCATCTGTCCATCCATCCCTGCATCACCCCCCCCCAGCAAACCCTCACCCCTCTCACAGACCAGTTCTTTATCCTCAGACTCGTTTTATTACCATTTCTGCTTTAGATTAAACAGGCCTCCAGTATATAAAAATAATGTATACAAATTAGCAGTTAATGTTTTACATTTCTGGCTTAAAGGCATATTTATAAGTTACACATTCAGGTCCCTTCCCTCCCCTCGGAGCCGGGGGGG